AGCCCAACAGAATGGCGCAGAACCAGCACCATCGACATCGTTTAGATCTGGGGGTCAGGGACCTTACAACGTGTATTTTGTCGCACTGTAATTGTATTTTTGAATGGATCTTCTTTTGTTTAAATGTTCACATGTCCATAGATGCTACTCTATCTACTGTATTTTTGGGGGCTGAGAATGTTGTAGGAATGTAACGATCTACCATGATCTTTAGAGTTTGCATGTTGTTGCCACTAACGTGATAGTAGCCCACATCCAATAGCAACTCACCCGCAACCGAGAGTACTCATAAACTTCGGTAAGAGAAATAGGGGAAATCTCTCCGATAGGACCGACTAGCTTATGCTTCTATGGTTCGGAACATCAACTAGCTCTGTAGCTTCTCTTCATGCACCGAAGTCGCATCTTGCATGTGGTAAATTTTAAAGGCTTGCAACATACGAGCATGACATAGAACGGATATGGAAAGTAACACTACAATTCAGCAGCCCGCTTCCGTTTGACGTCACGCTCCTCGGCAATCGTAAGCTTGATACCCTTGCCCTTAGGCAGCGAGATCCAGGGCTTTGGACCCTCGCCAATAACAAAGATGTTGGTTATCCTGTTTATGCTCAGCCGACTATCTCGCGTTGATGTACGAGTGCTACTCACCGTGTTGCAAAAGTACGATCCATTGTATCCTTCACGTGTACAATATCAAAGTCACCAATGTGCTTCTCGCGGTGCACGATGACACCCGCACGACCCATGTTACGACCGCCAGTTATCATAACCAGGTTTCCCGTATCAAATTGTGCGATTCCGATGATCTTATTTTGGGTGAGGTCAAACCTGACGGTATCGTTCACCCTGATAGCGGGATCGGGATAACGAATTGTACGTCCATCGTGGGTGACAATGTAGGGCACGCCCCTATTGCCGAGAGCAACCTTCTTCACCTTGAGAAGCTTGTATGTCGCCTCTTCAGCTGTGATCCGGTGGATAATAAAGCGGCCCTTAACGTCGTACAGCAGGCGGAAGTGATCACCAGACTTCTCGATGGAGAGCACATCTACTGATGGATGAGTCCATTGAGTGTGAGTGCGAGATTAAAATATCGTACCCATAAAACCAGCAGGATACGTGTTGTCAGTGCGGACCTTGCCGTCCACCTTGATGAGACGCTGCTGAACAATTGAGGTGACTTCACGGCCAGTCAAGGCATACTTCAGCCTGTTGCGGAGGAAGATGGAAAGAGGGAGTGATTCCCGGAGTTTATGGGGTCCGGGAGAGGGACGGGGAGCCTAGAAACACGTATTACAGGGAGGAAATTTCAAGTGGCAGAGAACGCACGTATGTGCCGCTTAGTTTGTCAAGCATCCATGAAGAGGGCGCGGCGAGACGCTTAAGATGTTTTCTGGGTCCACGAGCCTGCAAGGCAGCAAAGATTAGCAACACGAATTATGAGGACGAACCAGTCAAGAATGATGTGAGATATTGTTATCCAGACCCAACGGACAGCATCCACCCTCCTCATCGTCCATCCACCAGTTGAATACTCCCCATCTCACACTAAATGATGCACAATAACATATCTGAGGCGTAAACTGACCATGATGAATGTCTTGAGGGGTGGAACGGCGACCTTTTGAATATGCTTGCAACGTTGTGCCCCAGCACCAAGGTTTACTTCTATCGTGGGTAAAAACTCCGCTTTAGGGCACACCAAAATACACGTGACTGTCGCTCCGGACACTATGTTGCTGTATTACAGTTCTAGTACAGTACAGTAGCCCAATCAGCTGCTGCCCTTCGTAGCGCGAAGGACCATGTTCTCCAATGCGATGGCCCGGTATTCTCCACCTTCGTCGGGTGCCCATACAGCATCATCGAGAATATATACAAGAACCCCACCCTTCCCATCCGCAGTTGGCGAAACGCGGAACAGCGGCATACGCGAGCGCTCATGGACACGGCCAGAGGGCAAGAACATGAGATTATGCGTCGCTGCAAAGTCCTCCACAATCGAACGGAAAGTAATCTCTTGCAACCGCGTCGGCGGGCTTTTCGCTGCCGCCGCCGCTCTTCCCTTTGCAGTTGCGGTAGGCGCAGGGGACTTGCGGTTGTGGTCTGGCCGCGGCAGCTTCGTGGGCGCGTCGGGTCCGAGCTCAATGGCCATGTTCATGAGTTGCAGTCCTCGTGTGAAGCCATCATGCACAGCGGGAAGCGCCTGAATATCTTCGGAAAACACGCCCTTCCAGAATGCGTACCACTGTGCGACCTCTTCAAAGTTCGGGCGCGGCTGCACCAGCCAGATGTGTAACACATCAAGCCACTTGGGAAGAACTCGGCTGTGAGCAGCGATGCGACGATGGAACCGCGTAAGAGAGGCGCCCATGCGAGCACCCGCTCGAGTGGAGCCATGTCTTGAGAGCGTGGGTTAACGCGAAACTCTTCGCGCAGCGTAGAGCCGAGCTTAGGGACGATGTATTTAAGCATCATCGTATCCCAGTCGCCTACGCTGAAGACCTCACGCCAGGCTGGAAGATCATCTGGAACGCCGTCCGTGATATCCCACCCCCGAAGGACGGACTTCAGTTTGCGCCGCGCATCGCCCAAAAACTCCTCCATACGTAGGCCGACGTGCGGCAGCCACGGAAACACCAGTTCCTCAGCGGGACATCCGAACGGCGCAGACTCCAGTCAGTCACTGCTTTGGAAACTTTCGGGAGAATAAGTTGGTCGAGGAAGTTATCGCGGATGAAGGGGGGCAGGAAGGTCGCCCAGGCTTCGTATAACTTTACAGCCGCTTGAGGCCTGCAAGGGTCCCAGTCGTTGTTGATGGACGAGCGGACTTTTGGCAACCAAACGTTCCACAGTAGGCTCTCGAACGGAGTCATGGGTACATCTACCTTCGGTGGGGGCACCGGGAATGCGTCGACTCCAAAAAATCCCACTTGCGTGTCTGGAGGGCGCTCCTCATGATCTGAGAGTTTTAGGGCGCGTTTCCATAGTCGGAATGTCGAAAGTAATTTATCAGGTTCCTCCAGCGGGTTCCATTGCGAGAGCAATCGTCGTACCTAATGAAGCATTAAGCACTGATACAGCATTCCAAGGTAGTCATACATACTATTGGCACAATGGCAGCCACGACGATCTCGTCCAGTTTATACCTATCAAACTCTGAGGGGAATTGGGACAGCAGCTTGTGGAAATGTGGTGAAAACGGTTCAAGCGAGGCTTCGTAATCCGATGCCTGTTGCTCGACAGTGTCTGTATATCATTGACCACAAGACGAACTTGTTGCATCCGAGAAATAACTTAACGTGCGCGTTAGCGTTCAAGTAGGTCAATCTCAGGGGAAGGACGTACGTTCTGCTTCCTCGTTGATCCTTTCCTTAACCTTGCTTGCTCGTCTTCGAGAGTCTGTCTTCTCTTCCGAATGTCCTTGGCTTCACGAGCAAGGCCCTCCAGATCCCTTGCAGCAGCTTCGGCAATGAGTCTGACGTTATGTCGAACTTCTGGTATACGAGTAGAGTCAGTGGATGGCGTCCATGAGGCTATAGACACCTCTGCTATAGATGAGACTTCGCGGGGCTAGGGCGATGACGATGAGCACGCTGCCAAACCACCGGTATCAAGAAGAACTTACAGTTGCACCAGTAGCGTCAATGATAACCCCAAGTCCAGAGGGTCCTGCGACATCCTCCCCGACCTCTGCAACGATCTGCTCGTAGGTCTTATGCTCGACTTTGGTTCTTATCTTCTTTGGTTTCTTCCATGCGTCCGATCTTTTATCCGCCTTCTCTTTGCCTTTTGTAACTTTCTTTTTGCGTTCTTCATCCTCATCGTCACTGACAACTTCCCCACGTCGACGCGCCTCCGCCTTCGACTGTTCAGTGCGCTCGCCAAAACCTTTGAAGGCGATACCCATATTCTTCGGCCGCGATTTTGTCTCGATCGGGACAACAATACCTCGACCTTCTGCACCAAGACCCGTGCCCGTTTCCCACCCCATCTTCGCAAGCATGCGCGCACCAAATGTGCCCTCGATCTTGCGGAAGTGTGCGTTCTCAGAAGCAGAGAGGTTCGGCTTGGGAGGCGGAGGTGTGGGAGATGCGCCATTCCTGACGAAGGCACGCTGTGGACGTGAGCTCCTACCAAATGCAGAAGGAAGGTTGCTAGGGATGGCAGCATCGTTGGACGCCGGCGGGGCGGGGGATGGCGAATGTGCAAGGGAAGGCGTTGGAGGGATGGAGACTGCGGCCGGGCGGGACGCGCCAATTCCGCTTCTCGTGAAGCCAGAAAATGTAGTTGGAGGACGCGAGCTAGATGCACCCAGGCCGAGTCCACCAAAGCGTGGCCGCTGTTCTTCCTCGTCGTCCTCATCCCGGACGCGGGGTGACGGTACCTGGACGGTTCAGTGTCTTGCCCGTCGTCGTCGTCGTCATCATCATCATCATCGACACCGTCCGCGTCATCAGCTTCAGCATCCCCCTGGTCATCTTCTTCAGCACTGTCACCCGAGGATTCGGAGCCAGAGTCACGGCCAACCACAACCTCCGGAATGTTCATAACTTCGGACTGATCGAGCTGGGGTTTAGTACCTGTCGGTTTGCTTGACACAAAAGCTGGAGCTTTCGCCCAGTCATGCCGCGGGGCCGGCTTGCGACCGCCTCCGAAGCCTTCATCCTCGTCATCGTCTTCGTCGCCGCTTCGTCGCCGCCTCTTCCGCTGGTAAGGGTCATCGTCATCAGCGTTTTCATCATCCGAATCGCCTGAGGAGTCCGAGATACCATCGTCCATGAAACCGCGTTTTCTACGAGGCATAGTGGGTGGGAATCAAGAGTAAGTGAGCACTCAGCAAGGCAGTCGCGTGAATGAGTCACTTCTGTCACAAAACGAGAAGTACATGAGCCACACGGAAATGAAACATTCGAAAGCAAACTATTTCGCACATTTCACACGCAAAAGGATAGCAGCAAGAGGTGTAAAGGTGGAGATGGAAAAGAACAACTGAAGGGCCTGGCCGGGAATTGAACCCGGGACCTCCTCCAAATGGCAACCAAGCCCTAAGAAGGAATCATACTACTAGACCACCAGGCCGATATCCCCGGATCTCCACTAGACAGGAATGAGGCGAGCCAGGTATGACAAATTGGGAAGCTGACGCGTCCAGCAGAGAACGCGTACGCACGGTATTGAAGACCTCAACTTGTATTCAGACTATGGACACAACACCTTCGAGACCGCCAAGGTCAATGGACCTACAAAGAGTGGAGGCCCTCAAGGCCTATCGTGATGTCAGTGTATTTTTGGTATGCACTGAACATCTGCTCACCGGTTCAATATCAGAAAATGCAGGCACATGAGAGCATGAGTGAGGCCTTGAAGAATCGTACGCCCTACACAATTTATTTTTCCGCATTGTCTTGTTCACAAGATGCTCAGTGCGGTTCTCGATCAAGGACCTGCAGAAAGATTACAGGAAGACCGAGGAGGATATCAAGGCCGTGCAGTCGGTCGGTCAGATTATTGGGGAGGTCATGAAGCAGCTGGACGATGAGCGCTGTGCGCGTTAGCCCGTCTCAGCAGCTCGTCACACTCACTAATTCTACCACCAGTCATCGTGAAAGCCTCGTCGGGACCACGCTACGTCGTCTCCTACAGACCCGCACTTCCCGCACACAAACTCAAGACGGGACACGCGTCAGCCTCGACATGACCACCCTCACCATCATGCGCATCCTCCCACGGGAGGTGGATCCCATGGTATACAAAATGAGCCTCGAAGATCCAGGCGATGCTACTTTCGCTGGCATCGGTGGTCTCGGTGATCAAGTGCGGGAGCTACGCGAGGTGTGTGCAACACACACCGATTGTCCCAGCATGCGCTAACCCACCGCGTCTCCCCTCTCACACTACAGATCATCGACTTCCCCTCCTTAATCCCGAGCTCTTCCAACGCGTCGGCATCAAGCCCCCGAAAGGTGTGCTACTCTACGGCCCACCCGGGACAGGCAAGACGCTCCTCGCTCGCGCAGTCGCCGCGACTCTCGAGACCAACTTCCTCAAAGTGGTCTCCTCCGCCATCGTAGACAAGTACATCGGCGAGTCGGCGCGTGTAGTGCGCGAGATGTTTGGTTATGCGCGCGACCATGAGCCGTGCGTCATCTTCATGGACGAGATCGATGCCATCGGCGGACGTCGGTTCTCGGAGGGCACCAGTGCAGATCGTGAGATTCAGCGCACGTTAATGGAGGTACTGTCCATGTCCATGTCCCGCCCCATCCCGTCCCGTCCTGCCGCGTCATCTCAGGAACCACCGCGGGGGGAGGGGAACGGCAGCTGATGACGAACTGAACTGACGCACTTTACGTACACAGTTATTGAACCAGATGGATGGCTTTGATTCTCTCGGGCGCACAAAGCTCATCATGGCGACGAACCGACCGGACACGCTCGATCCCGCACTGATGCGCCCCGGTCGCCTCGACCGCAAAATCGAGGTACCGCTCCCAATGAGCAGGCGCGGCTTGAGATCCTCAAGATCCACGCGGGGCCCGTCAACAAGCACGGCGACATCGACTACGAGGCGATTGTCAAGGTGCGTGAGGGGCGGGGGGAAGATATGTTTTTCTGCTCGTGCCCACATTGACGTACATTTATTCTCACAGCTCTCGGATGGGTTTAATGGGGCAGACTTGCGGAACGTCGTGACGGAGGCAGGCATGTTTGCTATTCGAGATGATCGGTACGGTCTCGTCGCGTTTCACTTGATGAGAAGGGTTCTTCATACTCACACCTTTCCTCCCGTAGGGAATATATCCAGCAGGAAGACCTCACAAAGGCAGCAAGGAAGGTAGGCGAGGCGAAGAAGCACGAGAGTAAGCACACTCCCCGGCAATTTCATGTTGCGACATCGTTTCTAATTGTCATCATCACCACAGCCAAACTCGATGTTACTGCATAGGCATAGACCATTTTCTACCCTCTTTCACCTTATTCATTTCCTTGCACTATGCTGTAATAACCCATGATATGATGTCACCCCACCAAGAGCGAGAGCAAAAACATACAATTTAGAAACATCCATCATAGAAAAAAAAACACAAAGAACAATAATAATGAACACAAAGTAGGTGGGCAAAGTGGTAGGTAGGTATATCCAAATGAAACGACTTAGAAGCCCAAGAACCCCCTTTTCTTCTTCTCCTTCACCTTGTCCCCGTTCGTCGGCGATGACGCGAACGGCGAGTTGACGGACACGCTGCTGCCTGTGAACGAATCATCTGGGGCAGCCTTCGCCACACTGCGTGCGCTCACGCTCTTGCCCAGTGCTGGTGCCCGACGTGTCTGATGCTGTTGCTGTTGCTGTGGCGGCGGCGTGTCACGCGAAAAGTACCGCTCGTCGTAGAAAGCCTGGTAAGGCCGTGTCCCGCGCAGTTCCCTAAGACCGTTCGGAATTGCGCGCGAGCCGACGCCGCTCAGGTCGAGCACTTTAAGGTCATCAATGAACTGACGCGGCGACAGCGTGTGCGTTGATCCTATTCACCACCACGCCATCAACATATGCATATGTTTCATTTATCAACACAAGCTGTGCGCCGTACCGATGAAGATATCCTTCCCGAGCTGACTTGACAGCAGGTATGTCTCGCGCATCTCCGAGTAGGTCATCCCCCGCGACGAACACGAGCAGCCGTTGGCGTGTTTCGGAGAGGCACCGCCCGTACGTGCCGCGCGGTGCCAGCTCGGCTTGGCGCTTCGCAGTGAGGTCGTCGGTGTCATCGTCGGCCGTGCGGCGGATGCAGCGGGGGTGGTTTGTGGGGAGTCCTTGACATAGGGGAAGGATGCAGTGTCTAGCCTGCCGAGACTTGGTCCTGTCATCATGGGTGAGCAGCCACCAGAGAGGAGAGGGCATTGTGACGTACCTCAATGACCGTACGGAGAAGAGGTTTATAACGAGAGAGCTCGTACTCTTCCTCGTTCGACTGCTTCTGTTTAATGCGACGCTTGAGATCTTTGTCCCCCGTCCCCTACGCCCATGCAGTACCATATCAGCGCCCGCAAAAGAGATACCAGATCCGTTTGCGCACTTTGTTAATCCGCACACCCAAGTCCACGAGAGCATTCACGGCGTCCATCTCAGGCCGGGTCAATCGCGCATGTTGGTACAGCCGCCTACGGTCCTCGTCCGGGACGCCTTCTCGGTACTGGATGTACAGTGCGATGATGCGGACCTTGTTGGAGTTACTGTCGCAGACATGGTCAGGTAGCTGCAGACACGTTTTTGCCTAAAACGAACATGACTTCCTGGCTGTCCAGGAGCGGTACCATTTCTTCGACCAAAGTTTTGGCACTTTACCTTGCGCGGTTACCCCAGTTGAACAGTTCTAGGAGCGGACCATGAAAACGGGCCGGTATAACCCCTCATCCAACGGACATACCTGTTCGACAGTCGCTACCACAGGCAACTTGTCGCGTTCGAAAATGTCCATGCACTCCTGTGCCATACTCAAATGCAACGAAAACTGTGAGTTCAGGGTCGGTGATTAAAGTAATAGACGGTCTATGTGCGATCGGTCTGCGTACCTTTTCCCTCTGCTCTTGATACTGGGGTAGGCTGGCCAGCATATCTTTCATGTCATTGAGCGTAGCCGCGCCTTCCCTATACAAACAATTTATCAATAACCTGCACTCATTTCAGCAGACAGAAGGCCGAGCGCACCCCTTGAATCCCGCATTATCCGTCATAAACTTGTTGAAGTCGGCCATGAGCTTGTCGATCGCCTCCCTCATGTGCATGTGCCGCACGTCGGCCCATACCGTGTCCGCATCTGACAGGACTGCCGTCTTATCTTCATACGCGCCGACCGAGGACTGGAACTTGTACCTACGATGCAGAACTCTTGCATTACGAAAAGAGAACGAGGTAAGAAATCCGGTGCACGCACGTGTATTTAGACCCATCTTCGATAGGAAGAAGGTCATTCGCCATCGCTTGGTACGTGAACTCGTGAATGAGCGGTGCGACGGTGTCAATCGCGCGGTCAGTCACGATCAGCGTCGCGCGCTGCCTCGAGGCATCCTGTTTCTATATTCCTCGCACGCGAGGGCTCACGTCAACCTCCATGTTTGGGTTGTAAGGGAAAGTGCGCATGTACACACGCACCGGAAAGTCTGGATTCGCGTGCTTGTACTCATCCAGCGCCGCCTGGACCTCAAACGCCAGGACGCGCGACAACACCTCGGCCTCCGCGGCCTCGTACTGGCGCGCTTGATCACCGCGCGCCAAATTCGTACGCCAGCGCAGCGAATTCTCCGGTGGGCGAGCCACCGCGCGGGTGCTCTCGTGGGGTTGAAGCGCACCAAGGGGCCCGTGGTTTGCGGGAACGTAATATCTGATGTAAGGAAATTCATTTAACGTTATGCACACGTTTGCGATCTGCACGCCCGTCGCGTAAGCGAGGAATGGAAAGGGAAGTGGCAAGCGGAACACACGGATTTCGCTACAAAGCGGACATCCTCCATTAGCCTGTCGCGCTCGGCGCGTGCGGTAGCATCGGATCGGAGTGGGCTGTACATGCTGAAGAAGTACTCAGGCACACGCAGTGAGAAGGCCTGTGCCTCGATCGCTGAAAATGTGATGTGGCTCAGGGTTCTCAATTGTTACAACGGAGTACGAAGCCGATCAGACGCACCCCAGAAGTTGACGTAGAGGTCTGCAAGCCACGCAGGAACGGCTCCGCGGGCGATGACGTGAGTCGTTGGAAGAGCTCGTCCGCCAATCCTGTTCCGAAAAGGTGTCAGGGCACGGTAACTGACTTGAATATGGAAAGAGGGGACGACGGGACGGACCATCGACGAAGAAGAGATGTGCGCCAGCATACTGCTGCCGTCCGCCGGAGAAATCACGGATGATGCGGTCGATGTTGGCGGAGGTAGGCATGAGCATGTAGACCGCGTCGAAGCCTGGTTGTGGCTCTCGATTGTTCGTTATGGATTCGATGACTTTGGCTTGACTTTAAGCAAGGTGGCGACGGTGGCGACAAGCAAGGATAGCGCACGAGTCACATTTTCCTCTAGGATGTCAAACTGCTTGA